AACGTAAACAACGTGGCAGTAAATATTCATTTTCTGTGGGATTAAGCCTAAATATGCTCTGCTGTTTGGCACTGCAGTCACAAACTGTTTCTAAGAAAAAACCCCTCCACCACCACACAGACAGTGCAGGGAGAGAAGACAAGAGATGCCACATAAAGTCACTGGCATCCAATATCACTTCAATTCCATATGGAAATAACAGGAAATAAGATGTGCCGAATTTTAAGCACCAAGGCAACAAAAACACATTAAGATTTCATCACACAAGAACTTGGCTGTAAAATCCGTAATTTTCTCGATCTTTTTAGGGAGTTTTCATTTTCAGGAACATCAGAGAGCTAACAACTCATGGATGCTACCAAGCAGTTCAAGCAGGCATTTGCATTAAGCTGCTTTCAGTTAATTAAGTGGTGGAAATGCATCTCTCCTACACCAAGAAACCTCTTCCACAATCAGATTCCTTGTCAACCTCTCTCTTTTGACAGCCTGGAAAAATTACAAGTGGAAAGGGTTGGAAGAAAAGGTGAAATGAATAGGAATGAAAAACATTGGAGGTGCTGTTATTTTTCTCCTTTTGTAGAATTAATGATATGACAGAAAATATTGTCTATGGTTAAACAGAGAAGAAAAAAAAGTATTTGTCTGTCCTTATTTGCTAACCAACCAAACTCATCACCTAAGGGATTCTACTCTCAAATTCCAGAAAGGTGGGAACAGGAAAAATAAGAAAACCTTCAAATACTCTCCATGAAACCCAACTAAAAACTATTATTCCTGCAAGCAGTGATTCTCTGCTTGCAGAAAAGAGCTTTTTTCCCTCACACAGAATACCTGCCCCTCTACTTACACCCAGCAGATGCAAACAAACTTATTGAAGCCTTTTCTTCAGCAGAGCCTTGTGTGTGAAGGGTAGAGATGCAAATAAACTCATAACAGCAGCATCTCTGCAGAAATGTTTGGACAGCAGAGTTCCACCAGAACGATGCTCACATGTTCTGATGTTGCATTAGCTCTCTTCAGAGCCCAGAAGATTTAGGGTTTATAATTGTTAAGTATTAACAGATTACTTAGAAATAGTTAACAGATTTTTGAGTTGTAATAATTTATAACATCAAGCTTTCCATAACTCAGTGTATCCTTGAAAACAGTATTAAATAGTTTTATTTAGTGAAACAAGTCCTGCTCTTAACAGTAACATTAGGAGTGCCCAGTGGAAGTACAGTTAATATAAGAACATGTACACTCTGATAAAATAAAGCAATCTTTACTTTTAAAGCAGTACTAATTCTTAAGTGGTTTATAACCCTGCAATAAAGTGAATAAAGTGATTAGAGTCCAACCACAATCGTGGACAGCTCGCAAGGAACACATCAGCAGAAACAATTTCACAAACATTCCCAAACGTGTGGCAGGATTGTCCAGGGTTACCAAGTTAATAATGAAAGGATAGTAAAAAAAAGAGACATTACACAAGTAAAAATCAAAGAAAAAGTCTCATGTTCCCCCTCAGGACACCCAACCATTCAGCTTGTAAAGTCCTACCATAGAAAGCAGGTTTTACAGTTCCCAATAGATTTTTTTTTTTAGGGGGGGGAAGATACAATTTAAAAAATAATTTATCTGATAATAATCACAGTGAGACAGGAAATTAATAAATTAAAAATCAGAGAATAAAACATCCTCTATGCAGTGAAAATACTACTTCAACTACAAAGGTGTCTTTGATATGCCAGTACCTTCAGCTAAATTACTCAAAACCTTCTGAGTGGCTTGGGAATGATGTGGCATTAGGAGAAACAGAGAGAACCAACACTTTTGTGGTATGGTTCTTTCTGCTTAGGTGATTTTTAGCTTGATTTTAGCTTCAGTTCTAAAAAATCCAGGTCTTGTTCCCTGTAGGAGACTACAGAGCTACTTTGATTTGGGACCACCCAGGCACCAAAGGCAGGTATCTCAGAAGAGATGATAGGTTGGGAAATGAGGAGTTTCTGAGTAACAAAAGGAACAAGGAGATTTTAAACTAAGATTATGGGTAAGGAAAACCCACTCCTTCAGCATCTCCCACACTTTCAGCTGCACGGGGTGTATTGTTTCAAAAAGCTCAGAAAATTATGGAAGTGCCCATTCTCTGTTCCTGAATTGCTCTGAAAGTGTGGCTCAGCAATCACAAAACCACCAGAACACAGCCACACTTCCCTGGGGAGGGGAGCACCCAGATAACATCTGCAGAGAGCCTTTTGATGAACAAGCTGCTTCTGTCACAAGTTTTCCTGTGAAGCTCCCCTCCAATCCTGCCTCACCTACTGCAGAGGCACAGGAAGATTGTTCTGAAGTATTTTATTATTACTTCAGGATCTTCTGCTCCTTCTGAAATCAAGCATGCACACAGGTTTATCTAAGAAGTATATTAGAGGGCACACGGAGAACCTTGACCCGGGCACTTTGTTTTCTTGTTTAGTTAATGTGCATTCATCTCAGCCTCTGGAGCTCCTACAGATGGGTGCAAACCTACACCCACTTCTATCCAAGCATCTACAAATATTTTAAAGCCTAATAACAACACAGATGCTCTTTCTCCAGTATCTTAGTCAGAACGGGGAAATATTTTCACTCTCTTAACAAAGATGATTAAACTCGCTGGAAATTCCTCTCCATTTGCAGTACATTTACAGCATTTCATAGTGCAGTTTACAGATAATAAAATAAATCACTTTGAACCGAAATAGCACTTCCACACCCACCACGCAGGAAAAAAAACCACAACATTTTCACCTATTAAAAGAACCCCGGTATTAATTGGCCATGTAAACATCTGCAGAAAATAGCTGTATTTAAAAATAAATTAACAAATACAGCAAACCAAACCCCCAGTCGCTGAATGAGCCTGACAGGAGCTGGAGCTGCACACCAAAGTCAGCCATCAATACACCTGAACTCCAAGATTTTCTTAACCATCAATAAACCGTCAATATTTCAAAATACAGGACTGATTTTCACACTAAAGACTGAAAAAGAAAATTCTGGCGATGATGATGTTAGAACCAATCCATCAGGTAGGGTTTTAAACTGAAATAAGGCAGTTAAGAAACACTACTCATAAAAATGCCTGCACTTCAAGCTTAAAATCTTGCATAATCTTGTAGTTCTCATCAAAAACCCAACAGTTTACTGTTGAATTTATTTATTTTTAGACTTGCCTAAAATTTTAGAGTGCAGTGCTGGTGTGAGTGGAAAATAGTACAATAATTGTTAAGTACCGGAACACTTAATGTGTAATACTGGAATAACCACCAAAACAATGTCATTAACATGAGAAGCAGCCCGGATTGCAGGCGGTTTCCTGCTCATTTAGCCAAGATTAATTCTTCACAGGCAAGAGGAACATTCTTTTCACCTTACCAAGGACAACCCGAGCGAGAAACGTTAAAGAAAAGACGCTCTTTATTGCTTAGCTGTTCTTTTTTATTAAGTCTGATAGGTAATGTCAACAAAAACCACTGTTCTGTGCTCTAGGCAAAAGGATCTTAGAGGTGGACGTGGAAGAGAGACAGACACGGAGAGCAGATGGCAGCAAGTCTTTCAGAAACTGTTAGTGAGAGGGGGGAAAAAAGTTTCCCTACAAAACATATTGCTGAATTAAGAGGAACGCTGCTGAGCTGAAAAATCAGGCATTAGGAAAAGACGACACACACGTCTTCACTGCAAGGCAAAAGCTGTCAGAAATGATGATTTGTTTCAAAAGAAGAATAAAAATTAACCATCCCGAACACCCTTCTGGCTGTCCTTAAGCCGCTGTGCCGTTTCCCTGGTTAGCACAGGCAGGGTTTTTGGGTTTCTCCTGGCAGCGCTCGCCATTTCACAGCACATTTAGCGCACACAGTGCGGATCGATAGCACTACAGACACAAGACGAGACTTATCCATTTACTAACCACAGCAAAACGGCCTCTTCAGCAAAATCCTCCAACTCCTTAGCGCTGGAAATTTAAAAGGCATCCTTACAGGGATCTCATTACTCCCTTCTCTCGGTCACACGGGGAGGTTGAGCACTTGTCTGCGAGCTTTTAGCCTGATAAACAAGTGTAGCTTTGCACACCCTGCAAGGATGCTAAAAACCCACCCAGAGCAATAAAGACACGTTCCGAATGCGGGCACAGAGCGCCAGGCTGGCTTGTGAAGCCGCGTTAGATCCTCACTCAGCTCCTAAGAGGGGTTTTTGTGAGACTGACGGAGCTCCAAGCACAAATGGACCAACAGTTGCCCAACCACTGGTTGCTGCCATAACAATTTTCCTCTTGGAAAAGCGTGGGGAAGTCCTCGCACCCCGCTCGCTTCCCAAGACTCAGCGCTGGCGTTTGAACCCCCAGTTCTGCTGTTTGACAGAAAAAATTAGTAGATTTTTTTCTTTTCTGCGCTAAAAGGCAGTGACATAACGAATACCAAAATACAAAGCGTTGCAAATGGTTCTTTAGAAACTGAAAGCCCGGGTTTTCACCCCAGTTCTGTTGGTACATCTCTACACGCACACACCCCTCGCTGTCACCAAAGGACGAGCCCAGCCTTTCAGAGAGGCACCTATTCTAAATTAATGAAGCATTAACGAAGGTCGCTATTCACCAGTGAATAGTCCGGGGTAAGAGAGATCAAACTGAAGGAAAGAGCATTTCAGCTGGGTAATTCTTATTTAAAACCAGCATCCAACACCGATAGCTGCGCTGCCAGGTTACTTATGTGACACTAGGTGGTTATATCTCCACATTTATTCCACACAATTGATCTGAAATCCAAGCGCTGCGAGCGTTTCAAGTGCTCACGTTATTTATATTTTTAAGAATAAAGACGAAAGCAGCTTCTGCCTTTACAGTCGCTGCCATCCACAAGTATTAGCCTCCTGAAAAAAAAATAAGATTTCTTCTCATTCATACAGAGCCAGCCCAAGTTTTCGAGTGCTGACCCCAAAGCCCTCAGTTTAAAGTGACAAATCCAGGAACATTCACTTACCTGATGAACAAGAGATAAGAAAAACAGCGAACGCCAACTTAGTAGCAGCTCCCATTTTCCAATGCTGTTAAAACATTTAAGTGACTTTAAGTATCCAGTTTTCTGGGTCCTGCAAGCTGGAAAAATCTCCCTTCTTGCTGAACCGTTATAAAGCAATTTATAGCAACATTTCTGCAGCAGGTAGTGTTCATAAAACACTAAAAATCAGGTTTGTTTAGACACTGACGACCTCCCCGAGGCTCTTTCTAGACAGAATCCGGGTTGAGGGAGGGATAAATATATTTGGAACCGTGCTTCAAAACACACGTGTCATTTGGCTTCTGTACAAACGGTGGCAAAATTCAATTAATAAAAGTAATGCTACGAATCCACTTAAAAAAAAAAAATAAAAACCAAAACAAAATAAGTCAACGATTAAGCTGCTGAACTCGACGAAGTCTCTGAGTCTCCAAATGTTTTCCACATCAGGCGCCGAGAAGGATCATCCCTCGTGGGTGCGAGTGTCGGGGGGTCGGATCGGGATCAGTCCAAGGCGATGTTTTCGTCCTGCCTCCCCCACTTCACACCTCCTGTAGTGTTTGGGAGAAAAGCAGCTCCATTCCAGTTCCAAACCTCGGGGCGAAGAGAGGAAGTTTTATTTTTTTGTCAGTTTGTAGATTAAAAACTACCTTAAAAACCAGCCACCAGCTACACGTGGGTTTTCTTGAATAAATGCTGAGGGATTTAGCGTAGCCCAGGAGAGGGAAAGGGGGGAAACAACAGTCTGGGAACAAACAAACCTTCGGGCTTCCCGGGAAGTGGCAAATCTCTAGTCCTTGGCCAGGCAGCGAGAGCAGTGCATCCCCCCTTCTTCACCGCCCTTCTCCAGCACCAGCACTCCCGAATCCCAGCAAGATTTCCAATTCTTCTAGGAGATTTCCATCCCCTCCCCCCGCGAGAGGCTATATTTGGTATTTAAACACACAAGAGTGGCTGGGGAGGGGGGTACCAAAAAAAAATTTAAAAAAAAAATGCAGTATCCAGGCGCTGGGAAGGAGGGTGGTATATTCTTTGTGGCAAATCCTTGCCGAGCGCCGTGCTTCCAGGAGAAATGGGCTTCTTTGGAAGGGAGGCGGCGGTGCCTCACGGCTGGGGCTGGATGGATCCCGGCTCCTCTCGCGGCTCACGGCTCCTGGATGGATCCACGCTCCTCTCCCTCCTCACGGACACATCTCCTCCTGGCCGCCCCGCCGCTGCTCACACACGGAGGCTCCACAAAATCCACCCCTCCGAGCTCAATCCAGTTCTTGCCTCTTTTTTTTTTTTTTTTTTTTTTTCCTCCTCCTTTTTCTTTTCCTCCTAGGAGCGAGCAGCAGGAGACGGCAGGGGCGGGGAGGCAGAGCCTTCTCCCCGCGCCTCCCACACGGCGGAGCGGGGAGCGATCCCCTCCTCACCCTCTCCCCTAACTCTGACCCCGGCTCAACTCTCCGGTCTCCCGGGCGGCGGAGGCAGCGCGGCTCAGCCCAACTTTGTCCCTCCAGCAGTGCAGCTTAGGGGCTGGCGAGGCGAAAAGGCCGAGCCGGGGGATTCTCTCCGAGCGGCGGCGGCCGTGCCTAGAGCCCGCCGAGTGTCGCTGGCAGCGCGGAACAGCCCTCGGTGCCCTGCTGCCGCTGCTCCCCCGTGGTAATCTCATATCTACCCATTCACCCGTGTGGCGTGTGGAGAACCGGCCCAAGATGGCGGCGCCCGGGCGATTGTTTTTGTTTCCTCTCCGCCTCCCCCTCCTTCCCCACGGCCGCGGCGGCCGCGCCGGATTGACAGCCGCGCCACCCAATCACAACGCGGGGTTTGTGCCTTAGCCCCGCCCACCTCCTCTCGCCCCTCCTATCGGCGGCGGGGCGGAGCGCGCGCCCCCACGCTGGCCCCGCCCCCCGCGGCCCGCGCGCGCCGCCTCACGGGCGCGCTCCCGCCCGCCCTTCCCGCCCCTCAGGGCGCGGCCCCTCAGGCGCCCTCGCCCCGCTCCGCCCGACCCCTCTCCCCGCCGTCGCTAATTCCCCTTCGCGGGGCTCCTTCGAGGTGCTGGGGGGCTCCGGTGCTGGAGGCAAAACGCTGCCGGCGGCCACGCGGTGGGAGCTGGCTGGGAGGGGTCAGGACGGTGTAACACGGCGGGGGGAGGCTGGGGCCGCTGCCGCTGGGGTCAAATGTTGGCCTGGTCTTCTGCCTCATCGCCACCCCAGCCCCAAAATGTCCTGCGGGTAGTGCGGGTGAGAGCTACGGTGGTCTCTGTTTGTGGGCACGTTGCTCAGGAGCATCACTGCTGCTACAGCACAGAATCAGAGTCACAGAAGAGTTTGGGTTAAAAAGAACCTTTAAAAATCATTCATTTCCAACCCCCTGCCATGCTCAGGGACACCTTCCACCATCCCAGCTCCTCCAAGCCTTGTCCAGCCTGGCCTTGGGCACTGCCAGGGGTCCATGGACAGCCTCAGCTTCTCTGGGCACCCACCTTCAGAGGGAGCAATCCCTTCCCAATATCCCATCTAATTGAAACCTGCCCTCTTGTAAGCTGGAATCCATTCCAGTTGCCCTCCGTGCTGTTCTCTCCGTGCTTCTGCTGGGCTCCCCCGAGGTGCTGGAAGGCACCTGGAGTGTGTTTGTGTGTCCTGTCCAGGTCACTAATAGGCTCTGCTCATTCACAAGTTTGGTGTCACTCCTTACAATTTTTTTTTTTTTTTTTTTTTTTTAGCTGGATGCCGTAAAACACATCTCTTGTCTCTGGATGAAAAGGAAGACGTGGCTCTTAGATCTGGAGATCTCTGTGGGAAAGCAGAAGAGCCTTAGTGCTGGCCTTTGATTTCTGTATT